GACACTTGGGTCCATCCTCTAGACAAAGAACTTATGTTGGACAATATTGCATCTTGTTCTATACTTCACTTTTACTTTTACCAATGTGTTTGTCTTCATCTAAAACTATTAAAGGATAAGCTCTATATTCTATAGTTTACTCCAGTATAAGCAACCCCGTCATTAAAATATGCAGTTGTAATTCCTCTGTTTAATATTACAGGATGTTTGCCATTTTTTATGCATCACATACTCATTCTTTTGTGTAATTTTTATGATTAGATAATTTTGAATTTCAGACCTCACCTATCTGACCAAAGTACCTCAAGTTGGAAGGGTTTCGGCACTCCTCTTATAGGAGTGCTGCCCAGCATGGTTGATGGGAACACTATTCGCAATCTCTTTCTGAAGCTGTTGAATCCCTTAAAAAGATCCAATACATGTTCAATTGGTAAACAAGATAAGAACAGAAATAATTTCAGTGACATTGTTACCAAGTTGGAGGCAAGATTTCATGTTCCTGGTCACAAAAATATTGCTGATACCATGGAGGAGGGAATTGATATTGAGGATGCATTACAATTTTACTTAACAGATAAGAAGAGCAGCGCAATGGGATCACAAATTCAAATGGACGAAATTGTTTCACCTATTCGGTTGAGAAAGAAATTCTATGTGATTGTCCGTTGGAAGAATAAGGCACTGGAAGATTATGATATATGCCTTCTCAACACGTTACCTGTGATATGTCAACAGTCTTCAAAAAGATATCAGGAATATGTTACCCTATATGCATGCCTTGAAGCTTTCCTAACGGAGGAACCACTAGATCCAGAAGGCCCATGGTTTGTAAATCATATAACCTTCTTCCTATTTGAATTTTTAAAGAGCTGATATTATCTGCATTAAAGTTGAGAAATAATGACAGTCAGTGAGTTTTCAGTGCAATATTTTAATCATTAATACAAGGAAGCATGCAATAAATGCTTTATTATATATTTTTTATTCCTGGAATCACTATCATTTGACCAACGAAACTTATGTAGCACACTGGATGTTTGCTAAAGAAGGCTTTTTGGAAGATAATTCAAGATTAATTTAATGTATCACATATTTTGAAACATGTTAATTATCTTCCGATCAAATATCATATAGCATTTTCATGGCTAACGCCTGGTTATACCTAGTTATCACCATTGCATGTGTACAAATAAATGTGACCAATGATTAGGGATCTTCATGGACCATAATTAGATACAAGGCCATCAAGGTTAAGTTAACGAAATAAATATAGAAGAAAATATGCTGATATGTACTTTTGAAGTTTTTATTTCTTTGCATGTAAGTTATCTGGTAATACTTCTAGAGTATGATGCTTTGAAAATTTATTTATTTATTTTATTCTTAAGGTTATGGACATTGACCTTGTTGACAGAATCTCTCAATACGAACTAACACGAGTGGAAGGCTCTTAAGCAAGTTGGAAAATTCTGTTGGTAAAAAAGAAATTTTGTTGACCAGATTTACCTTGGCATAGATGATACAGCTTAATTAAGAAACTTCTTTGACATTCTCCACTGTGCTTTCAGCTCCATAGCCTTGTTGCTTCTTTGCATTGTGAAGTTGTTCTAAAGAGCGCTTAATCGCTTATTGCTAGCGAAAAAGGCCATTGGTGCTTTCCTTTGTGCAGGAATGCTAAATATAATCTAACCAAAGAATGCCATGTATTGAGCTTTCTTAATGCAGGTACTGCCCTTGTTGCAAGAAGCATCAGCAAGCTCACAAGAAATTAGATCTTTGGAGGCTGCCAGAAGTTATGGTTATTCATCTAATGAGATTTTCATATAGCCAACATAAGGAAAACAAGTTGGAGACTTTTGTAGACTATCCTGTTGATGACTTTGATTTGTCAACATACATGTCTAGCAGGACCGACAAGGCATCTTACCATTACAGACTGTATGCTGTTAGCAACCACTACGGCAGTCTGGGAGGTGGTCACTACACTGCCTATGTATATGTGAGTTGCAATTATTCTAGTTTGTTCTTTGTTTCTTCATCTTTCACTACACTGCCTAGTCATATATCCCTCCTCCAAATTGTAATTATCTGCATGTTTCTTTAGAGATTTTTGGATGTATCGAATTGAATTAGGAAAGCAATTCATCTGCCGTTGCCAGAGCAGTGACATGTGATGTTACTGTTCCGGTTGATGAATACCTGAATGTGTGATGTGTGCATTTGCTAGCGAGGTCAATGGGCTACAAGTCACGCCATATGTTGCATGATCTTTCGAGTGACACTATGCTTCTGGTTCATGAATACATGATGTGTAAAAGTCCATTACATTATGTCTTCAAGGCTTATTTGCATATGCAATCATGTACGAGCTACGCATTCCAATGAAATTATTTTCTGTTTTTGTTATGGCAGCACGAAGGAGTGGATGGCTGGTTCAAGTTTGATGATGACAGTGTTGTTCCTATAGACGGGGTGAACGGCGTGAAGACATCAGCTGCATATCTGCTTTTCTATGAGAGGGTGTAATGCACAGTTAGTTTCACGGCGATTGTAGTTTCTTCACTTCTTCGCACAATATCGAACGAGTTTTTAAAAGCAACAGTAGCACCAAACAGGAATCAGGGACGCGGCCGAGATGATCGATATGAGATAACTGACATACATTTCCATGTACAGAAATTGTCACCATCGGAAGACCATATGATGGTTCGCTTAGTTAGTATAAGTGTCTGATTCCTGTCTCACCCATATTCTTCTAAACGAGGGGGAGAAATCTGATTGTTCTGAGATGTAGATCGTCTGTGATGATTGATTAGTGGTCGTTCAATTTGAAAACGTTGCTTGTATGGCTACTATGATTTGGTTGGTTGTTCAATTTGATTCCCATCTCCCCCCTTGAATCTTTTTTTCTTGTTAACATTCAATTCTCGTCCACATCTGGATCTGACATCATGTTGAAAAAGAACTTTAGAAGGGATGGCGGGCGCCAAAAAAAAAAAAAAGATCCATTTAACATCTTTATACGAGTGCTTTGAGAGTATTTCCCAACACAAGGCATAGAGGCGGAAGATGCAAGACAAACAGGCCATGTAGTAGGTAGGTAGGTAGCAAATTTACAAGGAAGGCATCTATCTATCTACTACGCACCAAACAGTATCAAGTCATATCCCTTCCAAATAATACTATCAAGTCTTGGGTCAGTGAATTTTGCAGAAACCCACCCGTCCCCTCAAACATTACGAGCAGATGCATCAGCAGGAGCCCAAAAAGCTACCATCCAAGCTTGCGGCATCACCAGTTAAAAAGAGTTGCTCTCTGTTTCAAGCGTGCACGCTCGGTGGTCTTCCCCCTACGGTTTTCCTTCTGGCCGGCTCGACCACGTCGTCGGCGAATCTCACCTTCTTCTTAGGCCTCTTACCACCTAACCAAGATGGATCACAAAGCAGCAGTTGTGTCTCTGTTAGGTAAATGATGTCGAGCTGGAAAACAAATCCGTTTTCCTACTATGCACTGTAGAATTAATTCCGATTTCCTAGTAATTAAAGAATCCTGAAATGAAAGACGCTAAGGAACCCAAAGCGATACATAGAAAGAAGTGATGCATACCGATCGACAGTTCCACCTTCTTCATGAACTCCGATGTCAAGCGCTTGTGAAGCTGCAACGCGACGAGCGCCATGCCGCAGGAAACGGCCACCACCGCCATGTAACCCATCCGATCATCGCTTGCCATTGTTCCCTCTCTCCCTCCCTCTCTGTCGATCCTAAATATGTAGGTAGCGAAGAAACCGTATGTATGTGTGCGTGTACTTATAAAGGCAGAGAATTGGTTCGGGAGACAAAGGTATGAACGGGAGAAAGAGGAAGATTTGTGAACGGAAGAAGAAGAAAGATCTGTTCGCTTTCAAGATTTGACTTTTCGGACTTGACGACTGACCCTCGAACGGTTGACCAACCGAAGCCTTTTGACCGTCCCCACCTGTGTAATGACACATCTCCGTGGACTAATAGAAATCGCTTACGTCTTCATCTTCAATTTAGGGGAGAAACGTTGTCTGTCTGGTTTATAAAATCTGCTTGCCTGTTTGATTGATATAAATTAAAAGTCTATTTAATGTGCAGGAGGAAACAAAAGGGGATGAATTCCTCCTCATCAGATCCGATGATGACAACAAACGTGTCATGAAAAGCTGAGATCATGACAAAATCGAAGTTAGGACTAAAACATACGATCAAATTTGGAAGTTTGATGTTAACACAACTATAAGGATCCTCGAAGAACACACCATATTCAATTTAACACTAAATTGAATTCAAAATAACAGTATACTATTGACGCCAAAACGAACACCTTCCTAGAAAGAGACTACCTAGTGAAAGATTCAGGATTATAGAATATATGTATATCGTTGATCATGATAGATAACAACAAGGTTACATGTTGACACAGTGCAGTGCTCGGTGTCGCATATAATTAATGAGCGTGGAAATGGAGGGGGGCTTCGTCGATGTGTGATGGAAACCCACTTAGGAAGATACTGATGGGAGGAAACATCGTCAAGGAATCAGGTGGGAAACGTTGACCACTGTTTGCTTTGAACGCGGACTGTTTGTTTGTTTGCGGATTCAAACTCTGATCCACACGCCGACAGATGCATATTTTTCACGTACAATAAAATAAAGCGCACGCGTATCCGAAAAGAATGGCGACCACAAGATTTATCTTTTCATGCGGTCCGCTCCTCTAAGTCAACGAAAGGTAATACAAGTAAAATTCCTAATTGACTGGCAAGTCAAACTCAAAAATCCCGAAAATTTTCTCAGCTTTCTCAAAATATACTTGAAAAGAATCCTACGAGCATAATTCGGATACGAGACATCTCACCTTATGGAAGAATCTATCCAAGAAGATCCTAAGACATTTATCTCTACACCAACATAACCTTTCTTTTCCCAACATGTTTTAATACAGTCCTGGAACAAAACATATGAACTATCAAGTAATGCTTTCTCAAACACTAGTAAACACGGCACACGAGCTAATTTGCATAGTGTTTGATTTTACATATTAAAGTCGATAGTATTTATAAAATTTTGAAAAACTGTAAATTTGCCCAGTTTACGTACATTTCCGTCGGACATCTTGGAAGCACCCTATGTTACACTGATCCAAGTCTGAATGAGTTGGTGGCCCTAAACCTTGTTAATGCGTAAAATTCAAACCGATATTTATTAGTCAGGACAAACGAGATTACGCCCAGCATTGGTGGACAGAGGGATGCGAGCACATCCTTTGGCAGGCACAACTTGCAGATGGCAAAGTGGAGGGATGACTATCCACCAATGAAGCCGAGTTGATGGAAGATGAATGCGAGAATCAGCATCACAACTGCGAGGATCATGCCAGGCCGTCCCAGGAGCCAGTTCTTCATGTTCTTGGCAGTTTGCACCCCTTGTTGTGCCCTGTCGGCCCACCTTAGCTGCAAAATACACTCTACAGTTAGGTTATTATGTCTTATTTAGAACAGAAATGGAGGGTATTCCTTTCTACAAAAAGTACTAGCTGTCACAAATTGTAGGGAACTACATCCGTGGATTCAAACATAAACCTTCACTTATAGGAACAAGTTAAATGTGCAAGTACATGATAATATGATAAGAAGCATTTACTTACACCTTTTACTCTGTTGGTTACAGTGGCAAATAACCCAAACATATGAAGCTCACGACGTGCCACAAACTTCCAAGGCAAAATGTAAATGGAATATTTCATAATTCAGAAATATATGTATATGTGATTAATTTCTTATGCATCAATTTCCAAAATATGCTCATTGAATAATAATTCGAGCTAATTACATATTACCCCCTGTAATTATGTATCTTTAGCATCCTGGTTTCTATTTTTTCAAAAGTTATATTGAGATTCCTATATTTATAAAAGTGAAACATTTAGCCTCGTTACTCTAGCAAAACTCCTCTCTTTTTTTTTATTTTTAACTTTATAAAATTATCTTTTTAACCCTGTATAGGAATCTCAATGTTACACTTTTGTAAGTATAGGAATCCGAATGTAACTTTTAAAAATATAAAGATCGGGATACTAAATATAGCTAATTACAAGAGGTAATCTGTAAATAGCCCCAATAATTCACAACTGAAATCAATATTCAACACTGAGAAAATAAAAAACACCTAAGGGTCAACTGACTTTCTTTCGGTCTGCAGAGCATAGTTAGCTTATTTCTATATGATATTTTTAAAAATTTTGTTACATGAGTCATTTTGAACTGGAGAAGTGGCCATAGGACATGGAAATGAAAAACACTTCCTACTTTATTTTAAAAGAAAACTAAAGAAAAGGAATGAAAATGAAGTTGTCCCTGAAATTTGTGATGTGTTGATCCCCTGTTCCAGAGAGATTCTAAAAGATAATACATACATAATGTAACATCCAAGTTTAACACCACTTTAGAGGTGAGAGGAGAATTGATAAGAGTTGAAGTATTTTGGATCACTGGTTTGACCTAATTTGATTAGTTATTTAAGCCAGGTTGTGATAAAAGATAACAAATCAAGCTGGAAATGAGAATAGCAAGGGACCCAAGTAGAAAAAAAACGATACGTGAATAGACACATTATAGCATGGAGCCACTATTAGACTAGTCTTCACATGCACCATGGTAGTTTGATCCTAAGCTATAATTCGGATGTTGATGAGAATGTCAAGACCAATAGTTCAGGCCTATCAAATTAATGGTCAATTATCCCATCATGACCGCATTGTGATATACAATATGCTACAATCGAAAACCAAGTTAAGGATAGAAGTGCATAAAATAATATAACTTCCAATAAGAAATTGCAACCTTCTGAATGGATGCTAATAGCTGTTGATAAAGCTGAGTAGATTTCCTACAGTATACGTTGTCTCTCTCTTCTAACATATTAGCTTTGATAACTCTAAAGAATCACTAGTTTATGTGCCAAGTAATCATTGGGCATAATGTTCCCATACCCTTGGGTTTCAAGCATACTTCAAAATGTGGCCATCACAATCAGAATATGTTCCTTCTACATGTTAAGTTTGCATGTGCACAAATAGATATTAACATAAGAATATCATGAGTAGAGATAACCTTTCGTTTATTATCCACCAGCAATGTCCCTTCACTCACATAAATTACCCAAGTATGAAAAAGGTCCAATCCATATATAATATGTTCAGAGAGAACGTATTTTAGGTCTTAAAGGTAGTAAAAGATGGTAAGTAGATCATAGTGACTTGTTACCTTGAATATATATTTTCAATAACTTTTCAACTAAAGCAAACAAATATATCCTAACCATACCATTCTATCCAAGTCCTCTGGTGATAACTGTGACATGGCTTGTTGAGCTTTGGCTGCATCCTCCTTTGAAAGCTTCATTCCAAATTGTTCGCTCATATTCGCCATCATTTCTGGGCTCATGTTCTTCATCATTGATGCAAACATCTGCTAACGAATTATGTAAAAAACAAGACTTGCATAAACATTAAAGAAGAGGAATGTTGCCCCATCTTCAAGGCCAAGCTTTAAAAATCAATGAATGACAGGAGACCGGGACTTTGTTAGTGCAAGCCTCCATACCTGACGCATCGACGGATCCTTCATTGAATTCTGCATGCTCTCCTGCAAAGCAGCCGGTGAAGGTGGAATGCTAGAAGATGATTGACCCACCCTTGAGTCAAGGAATGAAGCACCTGAATTACTTTCTTCTAAACCAGAATATTTAAATGAGGAAGTTCCAGCAGCCTCTGAAGACTGAAAGCCACTTTCTGGTCTTCGGCCACAAACATCAGTTGCAGCTGTCGGAGGAGTACTGTTCACATTCAGTGAAGAAGTAACTTTGAGCATATTTTGAAGGTCTTCAGGAGACATCTTGCTAACTGTATCAGATGCCATTTTAATCATTTCAGGAGTCATTTCTGGAAACTTTGATCCTAGCCTTGAAACATCTGGACCTCTTTCATTCAAAGATGAAGCAACTTGGAACATTTTCTGAAGTTCCTCCGGCTTCATCTTGCCAATCATATTTGTGGCTGTTTTAATCATCCCAGGTGACATTCCTTGCATGCCCAAAGCTTCCAGATTACTAGGATCAGCATTGGATATATAATTTTGGAATAATCTGTAACATAACAATTTGTAAAGGGATAAGCACATTGGAAATCAGCATAATCAACACACATACTCTGTTATGGGTTATCATTGGCATGCACAAGAAAAAGCCCAAGGCATGCCTGATTCAATGGAAACAAGCTGGTTGCTTATGGGTACTATGACTAAGACCTGGTAAATCACATAATCAGGAAGACATCGTAAACATCTTTGATTGTACATAGTTGGCAAAATCCACTCGGAAAAAGATGTCTGTATGCATGAAGCAGCAAAAGCTAATTGTTTTACCTGATGTTTTCTGGATTGTCTCTGAAACCTTCTAGGCAGCCCTTCTCAACAGCAGCATCAGGGTCAGGTTGATGTAAATTTAGAGAGGATTCGCCAATTTCCACAGATGGGCTAGTACAATGCTCTGCAGGTGAAATTCTATGATTTTCGGATGGAATGTTTTGTTTCTCATCTTCCACTATTTCTTCAATCACCAAACCTTCAAAAGAGAACGTCCAGGCAGAAGGGGAGAAGAGGTGAGAATTCAAAAGAAATGCTTCAGAAGATCAGCAAAAAGAGATTATCCATCTAAATATCAACAAAATCTACAGATACTTTTATTTTTAAAAAGAGGAAAACGGGAACTATACCTTGTCTCACACTTTTATTTCCACCTTCTTTAATTAATTTCTCATTTGCATCGCTGTAACAATTAGACTCTGTAAGACAACACTCTACAATACTACAGATTGCATCTATACTGTGCTTAACATGAACGGAATTTTACCTTAGGACATCCGCAATAGTTTCATCATCAGGGGACATTTCATGAGCCTTGTTAAAGTCCGAGACAGCAGCCTAGAATTTGTTAAAACTACCAAGTTATCATAGTTAAACATGCATTTATCAAAGTGCATTCATGACTTTAGCATTTTGAAAATGGAAAACTTTGAACATAGGAAAACATGAACAAGACAAAAAACAAATAGTATAACAGAACTTACTTGTAAATTCCCAATTTCTTTATATGCTTGACCTCTGCGATAAAAGGCTTTTACATTTTTTGAGTCATATGCCAAAACCTGCAATCAGAGTCATAGCCCAACTTGATCATAGTGTGACTAAAAGATGAAAGAAATAAATTTAGGTAGAACGTGCATAAATTTGTATTACTGCTAAGGTAGCTCGTGCATATGTTGTAATACTGCTAAGTAAACTCAATATAAAACTCCAACGTGATTTTACACAGACCAGTATGGATCTCTATGCATCGGCCTTATATAACTCTCCTTAATAAGAAAAAACAGCACCTAGGTAAAGATTAAATATTATTTCCTTGTATTAGAGACAAGCACAACTAAATAGAGTGAAAAATAGAACCATATTTTTAGAAAAAATAATATAATGACTTCAAATGTTTTAACTAAACTAAAATTTTATTTGATGATATCATTCTTGGCCCAATCATACCGGAAGCACTTCCTGAAATTGTTAACCACAGAGCAGTTTCATTTGCAACAAGTAGTTATTTCACTACCATGATCTTCCATGAATAAAACATGAATCATAAGACTCCCAAACAAATTTAAGTAGGCAGTTGAGTCATAAAATAAATGATTTGCAGCAAAGTTGTCGTGAAAAGCGAAGGAGAAAGTATAAAGGGAAAATATAGACAGGTGACTTGTCAGTAAATTTTATAGTTATCATTTCTCCTGTAAAAGAGGACAAATAGACTCCAGGTACACCAAGTACTTTAATTCTTTTGAACAAATAATTACAATTGTGCTTGTGGATTAAAGATGGAACATATCACACTTGTCTTGATTATGATGCTGACCACATGTTTTCACAGTAATTTGAAGCACATCTCTCAAGGAGGGAGGAATTGGGACAGACAGGTAAAGGGATGGATAAAAGTTAGTGAATACCTCAGAACCTTCCCTGATGCAGTCCTCAAACTGCTTCATCTTCAGGTAGCATGACATTAGGTTGAGAGAGCATTGCATCTGGAGGATTCCACCTTTGGATGAAGGCATGCCGTTTAAGTTGTTCTTTGCCTGAATAACTAAAGAGATCAGAATACTGCTATTTTTTAACAATAAAATCTTCTCAAAAGAGCATGGACAAAGATCAAGAAGTGTAGCATAACAATAAAATGGTGTTAACATACAAGCAAATACTTCTTAGCAGCATCGTGATATTGTCCACGGCTATGAAGCTCATTTCCCTGATATGAAACCAAAAGAAAGAAACAGGTTAATGAAACACATTTTAACATAAAGTGAATTTGAAAAACAATAATTCAAGAACGATCAGTACTTGAAAACCAATAAAATTAACAGAACCAGAATTAACAGGATAAGATCCATGCAACAAAAAGCATGCTAAAATCATATGCCATATGCAACCAATAGTAGGGCATACCAAGATAAAAATAACAGGTTTCAACAGCAAGTTTTTGCAATGCTATTTGCATCCCATAGTGAAAAAGGAAATGGCTCTTAACAAGGGAATATAACCAACAAGGAAATTCAACAAAAAAATGGCACAAATAAAAGAGTTGTATGTTCTTAACTGTCTAAAAAGTTCAAAGTTTGCTCAGGTGTTCACGTTGGCTGTACTTACAATATTTTTACCTACACTGGACAAAGAGTTCAGATTTCATGTATCCTAACTTCAAATTTCAAACAGCAGAAGCAGCAGGTTATAAATGTAAGTTTTTAAGTGTCAGGGTGTTTCGCCTGTATCACATGAAGCATCTAAATCCATTCGGTTAGCAATACATGAACCAAGGGACCGGCTGTATCACAAAGAGCATCACAATCTATTGGGTTAGTGATACATGATACAAGGGCCATCAGAACCAATTAATAAGTAGCCTCCAATTGTTCTCAGACTAGTCAAAATATGATTGACCAATACAGAATTCAGACCAGTTCAATATATTATTAATATAGAGAGGATTTAAAAGGTTATACTTCTTGAAGTCTATTAAAATATGAGTCAATGTTAGAAGTCTTAGATGTTTCATGATATGGAGCAAACCACCTTGAGCTGTTTAGTTACTGGTTTAGGTATCAATTTTACATGTAAATTGCACTAAAACAAATTTAAGATGGATCAACCGGATCAATTTTTGAACCCAATTTTAATCTATTTAAGCTTCAAATAGTCGAGATCAAATCCATTGTGCCCTTTTTTCTCACTAGCCTACAGCTGTTAAGATTCAGAGAACCTCTATGCCAGCAGCTAACCAAAGAGGACTATTGTGAAAACTTAGAAATATTAGATAGGGTTTTACGGGATCCACTCAAACTTACCTTCTATCCTTTCACTATATGTCCACTAGGATCACGAGAATCTCCATACTGCTGAGAAGAGGCTGGAGCAAAGAGGAAATGCTGAAGGAGAAAAGAAATGATGCCAAAATCCCAGTGTGGTTTTCTATTTCATGGCAGATATTCATTTCTTGATTTTTGTTTTTCCTTTATTTGGCAGTTCAGTGCCAATTGCACAAACCTCAAAACTCCATTCTCTGTCATGCCTTCTCAGTTATATGCACCTTGTCAGTCACCAGTCAAGACAGGAGAGTTAAAGAGTAACATTGAGATTTAGAAACTTGATTCCAGATATTACATTCTATTACTCCATAGAATAACTAAATTCTCAATTTACATTTCAACTAAAATTTCCAGGTACAGTTTCCTTTTTTTGTTATATCTCGGCTTTTGTCCTCTTGCATATGTAAAAGCTGTCCATATAAATTTTTTATCTCAAATTCATTGCATCACCTCAGATACTTGTTCAAGCAATTGAGATACATATTGCTTCAGCACTGTACCGTTAGGTTAAATATAGTAATATACATCAACAAGGGAGCACCAACCATGAATAAAATGGTACCTGTTGCTTCAGCATCTGTGCTGCATTTAGTTCATATGTAACTTGAGCATCAGCACGTGCCTTTATTGAGGCAATTTCTTCTGGAGAAGCCTTGGCCATTTTTTCACTAACCTCAACCATATCCTCAGTTCTAACATGCTGTAGCTGTTCTGCAGCACGTTTCATATCTTCAGGCCTCAAATTCTTCATACTTTCTGTTGCTAATCTAAGGAGTTCGGGATTGGCCATCATCTGCATAATCACCAAAAACGAAATGAAAGGAAAGATCAGGCATGTAGAACAGTTGCCTGCAAAAAGAGTTACTATGAAAATGTTTTTACAATCATAGGAAAGTAAATAGGGTTTAAATCTGCAAGTTCACATATGCTCCATATAAAACAACATGTAAAAGTGCGTAAGGGCATATGTATTTAATCACTTCCTGTATATGTATATATATACACATGCATACAGGTAATATGCATGTTCTGAAGAGTGAAGTCTATAGATGTGCCCAGTAGAGATCGTTCATGTTTATTTAAATTAAGCTTTATGCTTTAAAGCATCTAAGCAATCAATTCTCCGAGCTTAGGATAAGCTACAAAAGGGAGGAAGATTATGTGGACACAATGTATAATTTTGATCCAAATGAGCGCTGATGGCTGCTTATCCTGCATGTAATGGTAGCAATGATTTGTGCTACTTTCCATAATGGTAGCAAGACTCCTATTCATCATCTTCTTTGCTAGATTTGGAAGACACCTTCACCCTACTCTCCCTGTCTTCCTATTCTCATATCGACAACGGTAGCAACAGCTCTTGCTTATCATCTTCTTCATTTTCTCATATTCCTCGTCTTCTGCTCTGCTTTTCATCATCTTTGACTATAGATGAGGCCCTTAGAATTCAATGGAATCTGTCTGGAATCACCCAGATTAGTCTGATGTCAACTCAATCAGTCTGGAATTCAATGGAATCTGTCTGGAATCACCCAGATTAGTCTGATGTCAACTCAATCGGTCTGAGAATGACTTGATTACGCTGTCCAAACCCTAGAGGTCTTATTTTAACCAAACATGAGCATGGATTATGACCAAAGTAAAGCATCCACCAGCACCACCTAACCAACAGCAACAGGGCAACAAAACAACGATACCAACTGATGGACAAGGATTATGAGCGACGACGTAGTAGCAAATGATGTATTTAGAATAAAATTTCCGGCAAGCACAAACTAATACTCGTTCTATTTCTGGATCAGTCAAGCCACTGTAGAATACATCGCTAGCACAATATTCTTGTTCCGCGATTCAACCATGACACGATGGTCTAGCAAAGACATGTTGTGTAACAATAACGAGGAAAATTCATAACCGAACATTGCATAGATATGGAATCCATCGGAGAAAAGAAAGTATAACCTAATATTTCGCGAAACCAGGCCCTCTCTCTTCTCCCAAATCCCTAAACGATCATCACAAGCAATCGAATCCCACGTTCGCATGATGGGGCTCGATTGGACAAAGACCCATAAGAGAGAACAATCTATAAAGGTTTTGGAAGGAATCAGATAGGGAGAATCTCGACCTGTTGCTGGATCCTGGCGAGCTCCTCGGGTGGGATACGGCTCATCTGCTCCTGGGCGAGCTTCATCAGCTCCGGATCCATCATGCCGTTGTACATTGCCACTCTTCGCCTATCCAATCCCCTCACCAATCGATCTCGATCCGATCTCTCTTCACTCGTTTCTTTCGTGGATGGAACGAGCACTAGAAAGATGAAGGCCTTCCCCTTTCCTGCTGCCGATCCAGATCAAAGGCGACAACACCCTTTAGGGACAGAGCGATCGTCCGGTTGGTAATCGGATCGCAGAGTCGCTCCCGAAGGAGGGGAAACAGATTGGCGAGACGAAGGCAGCGGCCCACCCACCGTCTTTTGTCGAGTTTGAGAGGTCCTACTGTGGGTATTTTTTTATATTAATATTCATTTTAGCCGACTTTATTTGACCAATAATTATTATTATTATTGTTGTGTATTCCTATTTCAATATATTTATTAGTTTTATACAATAATATAATAATATTTATCGAATAGTTTAAGAAGCTAAATTTATTTTTATAATATATTAATAATTTATTTTTATCCGAATATCGATTGAGAGGAAACAAGATCATTATTTAATTCAATCCCTCCACTTTGGACAGAATTTTAGATAATATATTAAATGAATTATAATTAATAAACATAAAAAATTAAATTATTTCTTAAAGTAGGAATCTTTCGAAAAAAATTAAAACTTTTATTTTTAATTTCTATAAACTTTTATGGTTCATTGAGGAAAGCCGGAAAAGTTGAATTGAGAATTACCCACCAACAAATTTTGATAAAGTTCATGACTGACTGGTATTAAAACAGGGACCCCACAAAACTGTTGCCAGTCGATAGCAATAAACCCATTTATATTAAATTAAAAGTTATGTTGAAATATTTGTACTTATAAAAATAAAATATTGAGATTATATAGGATTAAAAATAATTTTACATGATTAAAAATAATAAAAAAAATTATTGAAGTAACGGATTAAATATTTCTCTTTCGTAAGTATAATAATCGAAATACTAAATAGAGATAATTTATAATTAATCCACTAAATTAAGACCTTGAACTATTAATCACACGTGATAAATGGATCATTTATCAATAATTTTTTTAAACTAATATATTAAAAATTGGTTTATTGGATATGAATCATTCAATCCTTATAGATTAATCTAAATATTCTCATTTTTTTTATATAAGGTTCGATTTTGGAGTGTTGTGATCAAAAATTGATCATATAGATTTATGTTTATCGTTCTCATTTGAGCAGTTATTATATATGATTATTCTCGATAACTTAATTTTTTTAGATTTATAATATATAAAATAAAAATAAAATATCAATGTTGACATCAGAATTGGTTTGCATATGAGATGTTAGAATTTAATATAGACTTAAGTCGTTTTTGTAATAGTTTAATCTTTTGTGATTTGCAAAATATTGATTAACGAAACCTAATACATGCTTGCTAATATACATGCCACAAATCACATGTTGACATATTGTTTGCATGAATGCTACAGGAATCATTCCCTAATGATAGTGGCACAAATCTTCTTCTAGCTTACACTTTCCAACCCTATTCCTTCCTTCCCAGGGAAGTATTCTATACTATCATGATTGGTGCAATCCTCCATTATATAATTGTATGAACATTATGCTACTTTAATGTGCCTTTTACATGTGTAAACAAATGGAAACTATACTAACTTTATGAAGTACTTGAATTAGCCCTGGGATTCGAAGGATCCAATAAAAGATTTTGAAATGGTGGATAATTGATATATATATATATATATAGGTCATATGGAATAAAAGACTCGTAAATCCATTAGATATCTCTTACCTTTAAAGGTACCTTTTAAAGCTTATATGTTCCAAAAAGATAAAACCGATCCAAAGCGGATAATTCCTCGTTAGCCAACAAGTCGCATCAATGATCGACCGACTAAATTGTTCTATATTATACATATATATATAATATAATTTAAAAAAAATTAAATATCGAGTCATATTTAAAATGATGTGATAAATACAAATATTATTGGTAAGTGAGGATTAAGCACAAAATATTTTCCAAGATGTCATACTGAAATGACACGTGTTGGTGACACGGCTCCTTTCATGAGAGTGACTGAACCTTACGTGTCATGTCCCAATAATTATCGTACAATTACACGAATTATATTTATAATATATAACCATCTTTTTGTTTCTTCTTCCTCCGATTGCAACAGTTGCCATGCTTCATTTATTGCAGTTTCCACACCAACATGTCATCTCGACTTCCGATCGACTCTGGTAACCTAAACTGGTCTCCTCCTAAATCCATTGCTGTCTCATCGCTGCATGCTGACCTTCTTCTCCCCTACTAAACTCATGATGGAATCCCGCCACACTCCAATCCCTGATGAGCGTGTTGCATGCAAACTATATTTCTCACATAACAATTAGTTTTCTGCACCAAAAACAAAAACAGAAAGCAAAACACTGTCGAGAAACAAATATATGTGCCAAAGTTGACCAAGGCCTTTTGACTTTTCAACACCAGACCCAACTACCATCGAGCTAACCACACAGTGTGGCTTGTCGTTTTATAGGAGAGCGAGGTTCGAAGATGCCATGCGATAGAACAGTTCTGACAGTGCAACACCACCATGCCTTCTTCCTCCGGACGAGAGCTACAGGGCCCGAAACCCCCACCGCCGAAGGTGGGCAAAGATTCATGGAGGGTGATGAAACCAGCGGCCTCTCGAGGCGAGCACGAGCGGCGCGTGCCGGTCGTCGTGTACCTGCACACACCGAAGGTCATCCACACCAGTCCCCAAGACTTCATGAGCTTGGTGCAACGCTTGACGGGGAAGCCGTCCTCCTCCGGTTCTTCTCGCTGCAGCATCGCTGGGCCGGACTCACTGCGTGATCATAAGTAAGGCGACGGAGCCGGTGAGTATGGAGATCCTTCGCTGCTCACGCTCCGCCAGTTCTCCTCCACGCCTTCTGTTCCTTCACCAGTTGTGTCTCCGAGTTTGTTCTTTTGTTCTCGAAGTTTTGAAGATGATGCTTTGAGATGGATTAATCTGTTCTCTTCATACTTCATTCACAATGGCAGATAGGATTCTTCTCACTACTCGCTTGTGGGGTTATTGTTGGTTAGTCAGCGCGAGGTGGACCAGACAGGCATAGTTGACATCTCAGAAAAAACTGCAACCAGCAGTTTCTGGTCAACCAAAGAGTTCAACATATCTGCAATAAATATATTCTATTATCAGAATAATCGACCATTTATATTCTATTTATTTGTGTTTGAATTCTCGATTTTTTCCTTCTCCATTTTTTAGAGGAGGGAATAAGATAGTCTAGTTTGATAGATGATCATCAAATGCTTACAATTAATGTCAATGAATAAATACATAAATTGGATTAATTAAGTGATTCGAAATTCCAACAATAAGAAAAAAATTCACTGTATTTTTTGCTATAAAATAATATTATGAAAACAAGGAAAAACAAAAAACACTGATCCAAAGTATTTATATTTATGGGTTTCTCTCACGCGTGAAGCCTGCCTCATGGCTGACGTCACGCTCATCCCACGCGCGAAGCCCTCGTTCCGTCGCGTGCCGAGGACGTGCAAACCTCACATCTCCTCCACTCCCCCTCTCCTCTCTCTCTCTCTCTCTCGCCCGCCACCGCCTCCCGCGCATCGCGCGGGCTCCTCTACAGGTCACCTCCTTCCTCTTCACTCTTTCCCTACTTCTTCCGAACCCTAAACCGCTCCCCTCCCTCTCTCTCTCTCTCTCTCTCTTTTCTTATCTTCTCTCTTTTCCTTCTTCTTCTTCCGAACCCTAGTCCTAACCCCTAAACCGCTCCTCATCTGTCTCTCTCTCACGAATTGGTCCACGAAAGAAGCCAGAGAATCCGATCCCCTCCCCCTTCTACTGGATCGCTCCTGCTGAGGTTTCTTAGAGATCGGATTCCGATGCCATCGGCTCACCCTGGTCGAGCACATCTGCGAAGCCTTCAGGATGTGAGCTGTCGTATGATTCTTCTTTCTCCTTGAAGTATAATTTCCTTCCATTTGTGAGCTTCCCTTATATTTGAATGAATTAGAATTCATTTTGAGAAGTCGCCTTGATCTCATTTCTTCTTTGTTGCAGTTATGGTATCTGATTCGTTGGAGAGGCGTGATATTTCGAAATAAGGGAGAAGGAGAATTAAATGATGTCGAGGTCAGTTTTGTGGTCCACTAATAGTGGCATGTTTACTGGTTCCTGTTACTTTCAGATAGGAGCACCGATAACAGATTGAAACGGTAGCTACATGTTCATGTGTGATCCATATCGGAAATTAAGAGAAGAATAAGAAGCTTTAGTTTTAAATAGTCCTATTGGTAGAAGCTATTTGATGCTTCACCAATGGCAGTCTCCTTTCACCTATGTTGAAAAAGAGATCTTTGAAAACAAATAATTTTCTGTTTAGCTTCATTGCATTCTTATAAACTTTATATATTTATCAATGTTGTTTTCGCTTGATAAATGTTCCTCGTGACTTGTAATTATGATTTTTTAATATATATGTATATATATTTTAATTTCACATGTGAAGTAACTGAAATGAAGGATGGAGTCCTTATCATCAATTGCTTTGCTCATGTTATAGAACAAAGTTGTGGTTTCAGTTTGACAGAGATTTTTTACCATGATTCCTAACCCTCAGACTCATGTATGTTCCACATGCATTTTTTCCATTTTCGTTAATTTCCCTTCGCCCCATTGACTACCTCTGGTTTTTGCCCAACATGCAGCTTCTCTACTTCATTGATGTATGTTAATGAATTTAGTTCACATTTTGGAGCCTAATTTGGGCTAGCTGCTTCCAGGTAGGGAGGTTGTAGATGTAGCATCATTTAGCCAAGCCCCATGCATTTGTGGCCATGTTTCTGTGGTCACAAGTTCTTCAATACCTGTTGCCTTTATACATGTCATTAAGCATTACCACTTTGCTGCTGAGAGTTGGAACCTAGAGGAGCACTAGTTTAAGTCTTTTTACAACTTCACCGCCTAGGACCATGACTAGGTATGTCTGTAGATTTTTTTATTTTCACGATTAACAAACTTACTATGATTCTTTGTCTTCAAAGGACACAACATAATGTGATTGTGCTGAGTCATCTCTGACCTTTCTCTTCAAAGTTTTGGTAGCAGCAAATCAATAATTCTCACATACTAATCTTTCATTGTAAGCTTGGCTTTGGCTTTAACATGCTGTCACTTCTATAGAGCCATAAACTAGTGGCATTTTTATGTAATAAATTACATATTATTGTTTTT